TTCTCTTAATGGTATCTTTTGAAGAACAACATTTTAAGTATAAAGTCCAATTTATTTTTTAATAATTTTTTAATTTTATGGTTAGTATTTTTTTTTGTCCCATTAACAAATCTTGCCTACTCCATGGTTGTGAAGACTTTTTCCTATTTTCCTCAAGGACTTTTATAGTTTTAGCTTTTATATTCAGCCCTATTGTCCATTTTGAATCATTTTTTAAATTAAATTAATTGGGGTGACTGACAGTGGTTAGTAAAATTACATAGGTTCCAAGTGTACATTTCTATAATACCTCANATGATGAAGGCAACCCAAATTACTGTCTGTGTTGGCATATCCCCTTGTTATCAATTTAGTCCCTAGTTCTATTCATTAGGGAACTGGAAATGTTTTCTCTCGACCAAGTCTTGTAAGCTTCTGGAAGCAACCAATCCTAGACTTTCTCCGTCCTTCACGCTATTTGAAGTCCAACTGATAATTGGCTTTAGCTCCCCCACCTCAGATAATGTGGGGCTGTAGCCATTCTGAATGCTGCCCTTAGAGCTGGAGGTACTTTTAACAGAAACTTGGAGTGACTTAGGAGACTGAAGATTGTGTATTCCCTAGTTAATAGAGATCCAAACTCTGATGTTTTAATCTGGCAGTATTCTGAGAGGATGAATAAATTTGGGTTTATGAATTATTGTATAGCAGTGGCAGATAAGCAATGGCCTGGAGGCCACACAAACCTATAGGGAATGCCTTTGATTATAGCATACAATAGTCCTGCTAGGCCAGTACTTTTTTCCTTTAAGCTGATAAAGTTCTTTTTGTGTTAGTCATAAGGAAATTAATGTAGGGCAGGAAGGTAGTTGCCCTTTTTTTACATTAAATCCATGCAAGTTAGTGAACCCATGTGCTCTAGGAAAGAGGAAAATAAATGAGTAGATCTTGAGTAGACTTCTTAATAGCCTGTGGACCTATGAGTAATGCTGTGTTACCATTTTCCCAGTTGCCAGGCTCAAGTCTTTGGAAATTGTTGACATCTTCAGGCTATGTGCGCCTTCCACTACCAGTCAGAATATTTTAATTATATTGAATCTAGATGGCAATATGTTTAGGAGTCTTCCTGAGTTGTTTCACCACAGTTTTTAGCAATAAGGAATAAAAATATATGATTCTAACCACACACTCTATAAACTCTACATATTCTTAGTGAATATGTCAATTCTTTTCCTGTATACCATGACTGAGTAGCTCAGTAGGGAGAGATTTATTGTATCAATTCAAGTATTACGTTTTCTGGAAAATGTTCTAACTCTTTCACATAAGACTTCATTATACCTATGGCATTGAAAAAA